TATATATATATATATATATAAGTGGGGTGGGGGACATACGATTCAATTCTTAAGTGTTCAAATCTCTAACATTAAAATTTTAATTTTTATATATATTTCACTTTAAACATGAATGAAAAGGTATATTTCATTAGTTAGAAGTTAAAATAGTGGTTTTTTTATGTATATAAAGAGTTAACTAAATGTGTTTTGAATGATTTGTGTTCGCTTAAGAATTCAAAGGAAGATAGACGAAGGACTAATTAAATTTTTAAGAAAAAAAGGAACTAAATAAAAGATTTTAGGGAGCCTAAATCATAGTCTAAAAGGAAGTTAAACAAAGGGCTACTAAATCCTATGGAATATTTTTGAATTAGACAAGAAAATTAAGCAAATGACTTCTTATGTTCTAGCCTCTTTGAGACACTCATTTTAACTATAAAGACAATTCATAGTTTATGTAATATCTTGAATAATGTCATGAAAATTGTAGTTATGTTTTAAATTGTTTGATCTATCTCCAATATTTATTTATTTATTTATTCATTGAGAAATATGAGGGTCACATTTAGTTTTATTAAAACTAAAGAAAATACAATTAAAGTCACTTATACACACAATACAACACAAGTATCACAACAATATATGATGACTCAAAAAAAGCACAATAAGAACACAAATACAACAAAACAAAAACAAAACTGCTAAAAAAATGAACCAACTTCTAATAAGAGAAGCTAAGGCAGAAGGAGAAATACCAATCTATCTTCAAAACGGAAGGATAAGTAGTACCAAGTCTACGCAACACCAAGAAAAAAGATGAAAAACTAATCGGAAGTAGCATCAAACATCAAACAACATCAAAGTTAAGAATAGTCTACACATCCAATAGAAGCCTTAAAAAGAATCCCTCAATGATAGCCAAGTCCCCTAGTACCTGTAAAACTAGATGAAGCAAAACAAAGAATAAAGAAAAACTAAAAAAGAAAGAAAAGTAAAGAACTAAAGAAAACTAAAAACACAAAACGTAACAAGACCTAAAGAAAAACCCACACATACAACAATAAAATATAAGGAAAGATGAAAAAGTGTATAAAACTTACTTGCAAATAAACATTAAAATTTCATCTAGTTATCATTAATATCAGAATCAAATGATTATAAATAATAAAAAATATGATCAAACCTTAATAAATGACTAGAAATCATCAAAACTTTAAACAACTCATCTTAAACAGAAAAGATCATTGATACAAGTTCTTAAAATGCTGAAAAAAACAATCAAATCAGCAAAGCAGAGAATCAAAAACAGAAAGTTATGAACAAATCTGTAATTCAACTAGATAAACAAACCAAAACAAAACTGCAATGAAAACAATTCCAGAAAACAGAAGAGAAACAAGAAATCGAGCAGATAGAGAACAATAAACAAAACATATCAAACGAGGAACAATCCGAAGGAAGGACTCAGTCCAACACGTTGGCTGCCCAGCAATGGCGTGTCAGCCTAGCAATCTTCAAATTAGCCAAAATTTCCACATTTTCCGCACCACCGAATGAAAATTTCTCCTTCTCCTTCCAATCACTGTCCACCATCTTTCATCGGAGGGTCGGTTTCCTTTCCCACAATCGAGCAAGTCCATACGTCTTTCCCGCACGCTTCAACCTGAAATCTAACCCGTCAACCACAAGCAACTTTTCCTTTCCACACACCTGCCACTCTGCTTAAATCCACCGTCCGTGTCGTGATCAACAGCCGTGATTCTCCCAACAACTCCTCCCCTACTCCCTCTACTTAAACCCCACAGACGATCGATCGAAGAACCGAACCGCAGTCAGCGACCGACAAACGGAACCAGAAAACGAGACCATGGCCTTCTCCATCAACGCCTGCATCAAGCTCTCCTCCTCTCCCTCTCCCCCTCTCCCAAACCCTTCGCCTCCTTCTTCCTCCCATTGGTAAGCACGATTTCCAGCCACTCCTGTTCGAAAGCTATCAAATTTATTCGATTCCCGCTAATCTGTTCCTTACAGGCCGTCGAGAAGCAGAGAAATGGTATGGCGGCGAAGCACCCTGACGGCGGCGGCTGCGGCAATTGTGACAATTGGGGCCGCTGCAGCAATCGAAGAGCCTGTCGTGCTGCCTGCTGATGCCGGCGATGCTGCTGCGGTGCCGGCGGCGGAGCGGTGGAGCGACAAGAGGAAGTGCCCGCCTTGGCACGCCAACTCGCTGGAGAACATAATGCCGGAGAATCTTCCCCGGCCGCTAGCTCGCCGGAGTTACGATGGTTTCGCGGCTTATGGTGATGCTCCGGCTTTGGTTGGAGGGGCGCTTGCACATCGACATGGCAGGGACTGCTACTTGTTGTAATGAATGTAAGAATTTACAGATAACTTTTCATGCATTCCTATGTATGGAAAGTTGAAAATGGTGTGATTCATTCTTTCAAATATAGATTAGGATGCTTAGAATTTAAAAATTAATTTGTTATGAAATAACTAAATGCATAACAATTGGGTGGTCTGAATGTTAATTTCAGAGCAAATTAATGTATAAATGTAGATTTGCTTGTATTCCCATTTGTCGCATTAACATAATAACATTAGGCTGAATGGAAGGAATAAATTGTAGGTCCGGAGCTTCGATGCAATCTACGTCTAAGACAACGGTTTCGATCCATCAAAAATCATTTTTTTTTTCTTTCATTCCTTTCGGTATATCGCAGTCCTTGTTGTTAGATATTATAGTCTTTAAATTTCTTTTATTTTACCCTATTTAAGAGTAGTTTAGTCTTTTTACTTATTGTATATATATTTATCTTTTACCCATATAATACGTGCTTCTTAATGCAAATGAAACTCTAGCCACTTTTCACTGTCTCCCATCTTTCTCCTCTTCTGCCTCTTCTTCTCTATCTCATTTTGCAAATCTTAACACTTCTGTGCTGCGGATGCATCTTACATCCGAACTCAGGACAGCAATATTTTTTTTTAGCATGAAAGCCATGGCGGGACCCGAAATCATTAACCTGTACTACAAACTGTACAATTTCGCACGTTTTTTGTACTACTGGAAAGACATTTGGTACTGCGAAAAATCTTTTGATACAGCTCATGTTGGTCTAATAATTTAATGCTGACTCTAGTTTTATAAATCTTATATATAAGATTAAATCATAGCCAACAGATTTTTTTTTTTAATCTAGAATAAATTTAATTGTAACTAAACCTAAATTTTATTAATGCTTAAGATATCAGACGCTTTGGCCATTTCAGAAATATTGTTCTATCTGAGTGGACTGCTGATAAGAATTATTAAAAGTATTGGTGAACTGATTTATGCAATTTTCCTGCGACAGTGGATATATATAAATGTTTATTAAGTATACCCATTCTGTGTTATAGAGCTGTCAATTTGGCTTCGTGTTCGGCTCTGTTCGGCTCTTTAGTAAAGTAAACGAGTCGAACATGAATAAATTTTTAAAGCTCGGATTATGAACGAGCTGAACAAGAACAGCTCTTTGTTCGCTCATGTTTAGCTCGTATTTAGCTTGAAATAAAATAATAATAATAATAATATGTTACATACATTTATTTATATAATAACATATTATATATATTCATATCTCGATTTAAATCACAATTGTTTGTTTGGTAATGTGGTTATGCACTTTCATTTGCATTCATTTGATTCAAGTTCAAATACACTTATTTTTTTTTTTTCAGTTTAATTTTAACGAGCCTAAATCGAGCCGAACACGAACACGCTGTTCACGAGTCGATTTCGAACATGAGCCAATTTCGAACACGAGCTATTTCGAACGAGCCGAACGCGAGCCCAGCCTGAGCTCGCTCAAGCTCGGCTCGTTTACAACCCTACTGTGTTATTGAATAAAATCTGTTTGTACTGCATAGAAGAAATTTTGTACACATCAAATGGAAAAAAATAATAACAGAAAGTAGTAATAGTGGTGAAATGTTCTGGAGTCCAGTTGGAGCTATGTTGTTCTGCATCAATCCTCCCCTGTTTTATAAAGATTCAGGCTTAATGCAAATTGGGTGGAATTTCTTTGGATGGAAGATAAGCATAGATATTGGATAGATTGAATGTGGAGGAAAAAGTCAAGTGTGGTGGTTAGTTTATAACATATGCACTGTCATTAATTTGTTGAGCCATATGGGACAAATCAAATTTCATGTGACTTAATTTTGATTATGTGCCTGGGGTGAATCAGCCGCACCATCACCTGATTCAAACATCTTCCATCTCTTATGAATATTTGCCTTTTGTTTGTGCATAGCGTTAGACTCCAACAACTTAGAGTGAACCTCTTGTAAATGTTTGGTAGCAATAGTGGCCACTTCTCCAGTTAAGGTGCTTTTTCATTTCAATAAAACTGTGGGATCAAGTGTGAGATTTGGAGGCTTAGTATAGACAAGGGTGAAAGGACACCTATCAGGGGATTAATTTAGAATGGAATTACATGTAAATTCAACTTGACCGACTTTGACCCACTAATTTAGATGATCTAGCTCTTAGCAATGTCAAATGTCTCCTGAGGTGTGCTTTACCACTTCTATTTGCCCGTTCATTTGTGTGTAAACCCACTCGCCCCCAAGCCTATGAGGGAGCATCAAGCTCACAGGGCATGCACCCAAAAACATCTGGAGCGCAATTTGCATGTCACAGGGCTTATGCCCCACCTATTAATCAAATATAAAGGGAAATTCCTAATTCTGCAAACTTGCCCAATTCACGTCGATTCAAGGTCTCCTGCATGCAGTCGATCTCCCGCAACATCTACTTCCTCCCTCGTAGGCAGAGTAGTAGAAGATCTCGTCGTCATTTGCTTCGTCCCTCCTGCAGCAGGCTATCATACCGTCTACTTCGTCCTGCACGAAGGAGCGTCTAGCAGACGATCTCGCCGCCAAGCAGGTAGAAGATCCCTCCCAGCTTCTGCTTTGTCCCTCCCACGCGAACCCCCAGCTTCCTCTCCGGCGGGATGGTAGATCACGCTCGCATCCCTCAGCCATAGTTCCTGCTTCTTTCCCGCAGCCCTGTCGCTCTCCCACAATCTCATCCCGATTCACTTAGTTAAATGTTTATATTGTTTTACAATTTGTATTATATTACACTGTAGCTACAGTGAGTTTATCTAGTTACAGTGATTTCACTCACTGCAGATACAGTAAACCATAGATTTAGTTTTCCAGGTTAAAAATTTGCTAGACTTCTACCTACAGTGAACGGCAATTTTGTCAGTTTTTTTCATGTTTGAAGTAAACCACAATTTTTTTTCATGTTTGTAATTTGATAGAGGTGGATTTGATCTCCTCCTTTTTTTTAATGTGTAAGGTCTTTTACTAACATGTAATGGAATTGGAGAATTGTGTGGCCGGTAGTTGTCGTACTAGTAAGATGAACTTTGCATGGCAATATCCAACAAGTTTTCCTAATGAAAAATATTTCATATGTTTGTTTTGCAATCAAGGGTGTGGTGGAACAATAAATAGGATAAAACAACATCCTGCCGACACAAATGAATGCATTAAAGCATGCACTAAATCCCTGCTAAAGTTCAAGTGAGAAGCAAGAAAGAATTAGAAGAAGATGCGAAAGTCAAATCACAATGTGACAGTGTATTATGTGACATTTTAAGTATTGCAACATATACTGGTGAAGATCAAAATGATACCAATTCATCATTATTTGACTCCTCCTAGAGACAACGTAGAGTTAGAGGTCGCAGAGATTTTTTCACGACAATTCAAGCAAGGAATTCTTCTCTAAATTCCAAGTAGAAAAAAAAAACGATAAAAGAAAAGAAGTATGCAGGGCAATTGGCAGATTCTGCTACTCAGCTGGATTGACTTTTATTATTGCCAATGACCCATATTTTTTATCTATGTTTGAAGTAGTTGCTAATTTTGGACTTGATTTTACTCCGCTTACAATGCATGAATTAAGAACTTGGATATTCAAAGATGAGTTTTCTATAATCAATGTGATGTTAGATGAGCATAAGAAGACATGGAGTGAATATGACTACTCAATTATTTCAGACAGGTGTACAGATGGAAAAAGTAAAACTATGATTAATTTTCTTGTGAACAATCAAGCTGAGACTTCTTTTTTTCCTTAAATCTTTGGATGCTTCAAATGCTATAAAAAATAGTGAGTTACTATTCACTTATTTAGATGACATGATTGAAGAAGTTAGAAAAAAAAAATGTGGTACAAATTATAATAGATAATGGATCAAGTTATTTAAATGCGAGTAAAAAGATAATGGAGAAAAAACAACATATTTATTGGATTCATTACGCAGCACATTTTAATGACCTAATGCTAGAAGATATCGAAAAGTTAGAGATTCACGAAAACACACTTACAAAAGCAAAACATGTTGTTATATTCACTTGTGAGTACACATGGGTTTTTGACTTGATGAGATCTTTTACAATATAGAGAGAACTCATTCATCCAATCGTCACACGATTAGATATTCTACCCTTCAAAGCATTCATAAGAAGAAACAACCACTTCAGTCAATGTTCCCCTCAGAAGCTTTGTGTTCTAGTCAATATGCAAAAAAGATAAAATATATAAAAACTCGAGCTGTTATTTTGTTTTATCCACATTTTTGGGGCCATCTTGCTTATTTTATATGTTTACCTATTTTTATATGTGTTTTACTTTTATGATATATTTTTGCTGATATTATGAAAAGTCTCTTAATAATTTTTTTTTATTAAGCACAAATAATTTATTTTTTTGCCATTTAATATTTATATTTCTTATTTTTTTATATTATGAAGCTTAAGCCCGACACCTTAGGGCTTATGCCTTTAAAAATATTGGTGGGTAGTTTTGAGAACTTGTCAAATACTTCCACAATTGGTTGGTGCGGTTTGATTGATTTGTCCAGGCCAGTTAATTATCTTCAATCTCTGATAAGAAGGCTTTGTGTCTCTGTTTACACCGTTTTGGTATCAGAGACATGGCTGAATCCAGTAAACATCCCGTCGATGACTATGTAAGTGATTGGGAAACTATGCGAGCTGTGCTCGCTACCCTTACCAGAAAGGTGGAGACGATCAAGCACGGTTTCCTACCGTTCGCAATGGAGATGCGATCAGAGTTTCAAAATCTATGGAGCGGAGATCTCTTCCCACCGGCAAACACACTGATAAGCTTGGCAGTTGTACCGACGATGAGAAATTTCAATCCAATGAATCCAGATCGGCGACGTTTTCAACAATCTGAGTCGGCCTTCCCTAATGTCGAAGTCGACAAGGGCCAAAATTCGCGACGCAAGCCGAAGTCATGGAATCCGACTCCGACAGTTAGAATCAAACATAGGGAAATCATCCTATCCGAAGAAGATCTTGGAATCAGATGCAAGGAGAATTCAAGATAAAATTAGATATACCCTATTTTGAAGGACATTTACATATTGAAGACTATTTGGGTTGAGAACAAGAAGTAAAAGCATTCTTTGAATGCATGGACATTTTGCCGGAGAGACAAGTCAAATACGTCGCCTATCGATTGAAAGAGGGAGCAGGGGCGTTGTGGATCCAATTAGTTTATACCTGCAAACGAGAAGGGCGTAGGAAGGTTCAAAGCTGGTCTGGTATGAAATAATTATTGCGAGGTCATTTTCTTGCCACAGATTAGGAGCAAATTCTATATCTACAATATCAGAGATGTATGCAAGGTGATCGAAATGTAAGTGCCTTTACGAAAGAATTTTATAGGCTATGCCATAAAAAACATGAATGAAACAGATCTAACAATTGATTGCTCGATGTATCGGTGGCTTGAAAGAATCAATTCAAGAAAAATCTAAAAGAGTTTTGTTTGGTCGCAGTCACAGGCTGTTAACTTTGCTTGTAAAGCAGAAATTCAACAACCTTGACAACATGAACCTTAATATTTCCATCATGGATCCATCGACTTCAATGTGGAACAAAATCGGGGAGTGCTACCTCTCAAACAAAATGTTCTTCAGGGTCAAAACTGTCCCAACCAACCCAACTTGATAGAATCCAGATTCAATTTAAGAACCAATTATAATCGTGACAACACATATCAAAGATTAACTCCAGGAAAATGCTTCAGGTCTCTCCAACCCGAGCATAAATCTATGAATGTCCAACTCGAAGACAACTTCAAGTGCTAGAAGGAGAACATGACATAGAGGGCAGCTATGGGTTGTCAATTGTGTCGGAAGATGTGGAGGATTTACAAGCCGGTAAAGGAGAATTTATTTCCTGCAACTTAGAAAAAGTATTGCTCGCTCCTAGCCGTAATAATTGTACTCAAAGGCATTCTATATTCAGGAGACAATGAACCATTGGAGGTAACGTATGTGAACTTATCATTGATAATGGTTTTACTGAAAAATATTGTTTCATTAAAGGTTGTTAAAGCTCTTTAACTAAAGACTACAAAGCATCCTCAATAGTATAAAATTAGTTAGGTGAAGAAAGGAATTGAAGTGTCGATTACCGAAATGTGCGAGGTTTCATTCTCTATTGGAAAATCATATCATTTTGAAATTCTTTGTGATGTAATAGACATAGATGTATACCATTTTATCTTGGGCCTTCTTTGGCAATTTGATGAGGGGTGTGGTATGACAGCCGATGTAGTGCTTATATTATTGAAAGGAATGACAAAAAATTGAGTTTTTTATCAGCCAACATCAATGTGGAAGTTATCCCTTCTGATTCAGTAGATTTTATTTTCGTGTCAGGGAACTAATTAATGCAAGACTATAAATTGGAAGCTCAAATGTATGCAATCCTGTGTACCGAACAATAGCCAATAACCAAAGAAGTGTCAAACAAACCGCCTATTTTAGTCGAACAATTCTCTGATTTAACTCCAGCTGATTTACCAAATTCATTACCTCCAATGCACACCATTTAGCACCAAATAGGACTTCCTTCCGGGCTCCACATTACCGAATTTACCCCACTACAAATTAGGCCCAAAGAAAAAACAAATATTATAAGAGATGGTCGATGATTTACTGCAGAAACAATATATTAGGCATAGTTTGAGTCCATGTGCCGTGCTGACATTAATTGTACCAAAGAATAATGGAAAGTGGCGAATGTGCATCGACTAGTCATCAATAAAATTACAACTAAATTCATTTTCCTATGCCTCAGTTAGAAGGCCTCTAGGAAAAATTATGTGTAGCTAAATTTTTGTCCAAATTGAACCTACTAAGTAGGTACCATCAAATTCAGATCTGACCTTGTGATGAATGGAAGACTACCTTTAAAACTCGTGCAGAATTTATGAATGACGAGTTATGCCATTTGGACTGTGCAATGCTCCTAGTATTTTTATGCATCTCATGAATGAGGTTTTAAAACATTTCCTCGTACAATCTTATGTTGTATATTTCAATGATATCTTAGTGTACAGTTCATCCTTACATGAACACATACAACATCTTACTCAACTTTTTAATACCTCATGCCAAGAGAAGTTATATTCTCAATCTATCCAAATGTAAATTTGACATAACTAGTGTTCATTTTCTGGGTTTGTTAGTTCCATGGGTAATAAAATTGATCTCGACAAAATAACGATTATTCTGCCTTCGCCCACTCCTAACTATATGTTTGAAGTTTGAAGGTTTCACGGATTAACTAATTTTTATAGAAAGATTCATCAAAGATTTCAACACATTGATAGCTTTGATTGCCGACTATTTGAAAAGCAAGACTTTCTTGCGGGAATCAGAAGAACAAGCAAGTTTTGACAATATTAAGACCGTTTTGTGTAATGCTCCTATTCTAGATGTTTCGGATTTTGACAAACCTTTTCTTGTTGAAGTAGATGCTTATGTTATTGGCATTGGTGTAGTTCTATCTCAAGAAAATAAGCCCATTAAATATTTCAGTGAAAAACTAAGTAGCACTCAACAATAGTGGTCTACATATGAGCATGAATTGTATGCAATGGTGAGAGCTCCCAAGCATTGGGTAACACTATCAGGTTCACCAAGAGTTTGTTTTATTTAGTGATCATAAATCCCTACAATTTCTGCAATCTCAAAAGACACTCAATTGAGTGCATGTGCGGTGGGTTGTCTTTCTACAAAAATTCAATTTTATGTTTTAATAAAACATAAAATTGGTTGAAGTAAGAAAGTAGTTGATGCTCTTAACTACAAAGTCAATTTGTTGGTCTCCTTACATACCTCGATTGCTGGGTTAGAAGCTATCAAATATTAAAATGCTACCGATACAGACTTTGTCAATCCTTACATCGGATTATGAGAAAGTTGCATGTTTAAGCTCCGATTGTAAATTATTTTGTTAAGCAAGGTTATCTTTTTAAGGTAACCAATTATGTATTTCAAACACTTCTCTTTGCACTCATTTAGTTCAAGACATGCATGCTGGAGGGTTGGCAACACATACCGGTCATGACAAAACTATCGTTATATTGACGACTCGTTTTTTTCTGGCCAAAATTAAAAAGAGATGTAAATCAATTTATCGAAAATGTGTCACTTATCAGACTTACAAAAGTAATGTTCAAAATACTGGTTTGTGTATGTCATGATCGGTTCCTGAAATGATTTGAGAAGATTTGAGTTTGTATTCTGTTTTGGGACTTCCGAAAATTAAAAGAGATTTTAATTCTGTAATGGTAGTGGTCGATCGCTTTTCTAAAATGACCCATTTTGTTCCTTATAAGAGGACCTTCGATGCTCTTAATATTGCATGACTATTCTTCTTGAATATTTGTTGTCTCCAAAGATTACCTGAAGTTTTGCATCGGCTCATGATGTTAAATCCATGAGTTACTTTTGGTGGGAATTGTGGAAAAGATTACATATAGAACTTAGAATGAGTTCAACTTACCATCATCAAACTGACAACCAAACAGAGGTCGTTAATAGGACTCTTAATAACATGATTTATTGTTTAGTTGGTGAAACTCACAAGCAATGGGATGAAATACTTAGTCGAGCAGAATTTGCATATAATTCCGTGCCAAACCGAACAACAGATAGGGCTCCATTCAGTTCAGTTTATACCAAGGCTCCCAATCATACTATCGACCCTATGATCCTCCCTCAAGCTCGCAATAAAACTGTTGAATCGATGGTTACCAATTTCACCACAATGATTCATGATGTCAAAGATAAGCTTTCTCAAAGTAACCAAGTATGTAAATCATTGGCTAATACTAAATGGCGCTTCAAAGAATTTAAGGTTGGATATTTAATCATGGTCCATCTGCGTAAAAAATGATTTCTAACCGACACTTATTTTAAATTACAGCCACACAAACTGGGCTAATTTCCAATTGCTTAAATAATCAACGATAATGCCAATATCATTTCCTTACCCCCGAAATTGAAATATTTCACCAAAATTCAATATCACACATATATACGTATAGCATCCTCCAGATGTCATTGCCATTTAAGAACTTGAGATGAGTTCTTCTGAAGCGAAGGGGAATCTGGTGTAGTCGAAGGATGGATTAGACCGAAATACATTTATTACTTTCCTTTTACTTGCTTAATAGTAATACTCAATAATACTTGCTTTAATAGTTACCATAAAGATATTATAAAAGGATATTGGAAAAAATTGTATGCAACTTTTTCCTGATTTCACCAACCAATTATGTTGTTCAGCTTTATCATTTTTTGTTATTCGTTTACCTTATTTACACCACCTCCTCTATTAAAGGGACTTAGGGTTCACGGGGGAATAATGGTGAGAAGTGCTAAATTGTACCCTTAGTCTTTTTCTTTCTCCTCATCTGATGCTAGTGAGATTTATATTCCCGTGGAAATAGGCGAATCAACTTAACGCCAAATCATGTAATTTTTTTTTATTTGATTGTTGTTGTGTGAAATTTTTTCATTTTCTTATTATTTTCGAATAACATTTTTTATGTTCAGGAACACCCAGCTGATAAAATCGCTCGGTGTAATTGTTGATTGTTCAATTACCCTATGAACAATGTTCATATTGCACTTATAATATTTGTTCCAAATCAATTATAATATTTGTTCCAAATCAATCCGCAGAAATGATTCATTTCTGAACCAACATTTGATATTACCCGTTCTTATTGTCAAAGCTACAACCACCGTGCAATTGCCTTTTAACTCGCACTCTCACATATTTGCCTTGTTTATAAACTGGAATTCACATATATTCGAAAATGTTTTCCACATCTTGTTCCAAATCCAAAGTAATCCTCAACATGCAAATAGCCATTAAAGAAATAAATGCCCAATTTAATACAAAATTCATGCTTTCTATCATGGAATTCATACCTACGATTAGCTAAACTATCTGTTTGAGAAAACTACACTTCCTCACAATCGATCACTACTTCAGTCCAAGACATTTAGCCGTCTGCCTGCTACAATTATCACATAACGTTTACACAATACGAAGACAATAGATTCCACCATATTCAAATCACAGCAAGCTGCAGAACTCCACTGCTTCTTCACAATTCTACACAAATAAATACTAAATGTTATAAATAAAATGTCATGACCATCAATTTTAATCACGAGGCCCATTACACATACAGTAGCCACAAACAGCATGCCAGCAGCTCAACATGTTAACTAAAATTTTAATCAATATATATTTTTAGAGCAATATTTTAGCCACCATAAAATTTCCACACGCATTCACCATTCAACCCTAAAAAAAATCCCCATAAGTTCGTGATTTTATTTATATGTCCTTAATTTTTTTATCAATGGTTTTATAGCTAAACCATTACTCGAAGTCTCGTCCTCAAAGTCAGAAATGAATATTACGTGCAGCATTCGCATGTGTGAATTGATGATATTATCTCGATACCACTAATTCACATCTAACTTCTCCACATGTAATATTTTTACCAAAGCCAGCGGCGAGCACTCGCACTCGCCGGCACCGACCGCACGCTAACAAGGAGCACATCATCAACCACCGGCCCACACAGCGCGCCGTCGCTTCTCATGTGATAGAATGAGCTCTGAAACACGACATTAGTCCTCTCACCCACAGCACTAAACTTTAACACCGCCCGCTTGTGCCCGCCATTCCCTTTCGACTCGTACGGTATCTTCACTGTCTCCCTCGCCGCAAACGCCTCAACAGCCATGCTCCCAACACACCCATCCCCCGCGTCGCCGACCGCAAACGTAAGCGCATACTTTCGCCCAACCACCGTCCTCACCGTCTGCGCAATCGCGCTCTCCCGCCCCGCCACCAGCTCCACCGCCCTCCGCCCCTCCGCCACCGCGAAATGCGCGGCATCGATATACTTCACCGCCTTAAGCGACACGATTTTCCACGCGGGGAGAGGGGAGTGGTCGTCCTCGATGTTGGGCGGTATTATGATTCCGTAGCTGGAATTGGGGAGGAAAAAGGGACCTTCTTCAAAACCGGGATTTTTCAGAAGATTTTTGTTGGTGGGTCGGGGGGGATAGAGCTCGCGAATGGCGACGGCGTCGATGAGGGGACCGCAAGCGGGATCATCCTCGAGGCCGGGGTTGTGGATGACGAGATCGACGGGGGATTGTTGGGCGAGAAAGGCCCATGCGTAGGAATCCCAGCCGCTGCTGCTGTAGGTGGTTTGGATGGGGACGAGGCCGGAGTAAGGGGTGAGGGAGATGTTGAGGTGTTCAGACTGAGCGCAGGTGCGGGCGGCGCAGAAGGTGAGGGAGTAGCGGAGGGAGGGGGTTAGGAGGAGGGATTGGCGGATGAAGGCGTCGTTGCCGAGGCGGACGGCGTAAGAGCCTTCGGGGACGACGAGGAGCATGTCGCCTTGTTTGTGGCCGGAGGGGATGTATTCCACGAAGCCGGAGACTTCCCATTGGGGGATGGCGCGGCGGCTGCGGATTACGGTGCCGTTTAGTTCCGTGGAGTTGGGGCCCTGCTCGAAATTGCCGTTCGGAAGGAGCCCTGTTTACATACATACCAAACAATTCTTATATATTTGCATATCTAACATTCGGAAAAAATTTGCTTACGTGTACGCATCTCTGCGTACATGATAGTGTACACGAGAGTTATATGGGAGTTACAAGCATGTACACGAGAGTTACATAGGAGTTACAAGCATGTATAATTGTTACAGCGGAGTTACACGGTTACACGGGATTTACACAACAGGAGGTTACACGGGAGGTACAACAGGTTATAACCCCCTAACTCTGATGTAACTTCCATGTACACTATTAAGTACGCAGAGATGCGTACCCCTTGACGTACGCAAATTTTTTCCCTAACATTCAAAATTCTATATATATATATATAAAGAATAATGGAAA